AATTCATCCAAGAGACAACTGGTTCTGTGTTAATTTACTCAAGAGACAACTGGTCCTGTGTTAATTTACCAAAGAGACAACTGGTCCTGTGTTAATTCACCCAAGAGACAACTGGTCCTGTGTTAATTCATCCAAGAGACAACTGGTTCTGTGTTAATTTACCAAAGAGACAACTGGTCCTGTGTTAATTCATCCAAGAGACTACTGGTTCTGTGTTAATTTACTCAAGAGACAATTGGTCCTGTGTTAATTCATCCAAGAGACAACTGGTCCTGTGTTAATTCGCCCAAGAGACAACTGGTCCTGTGTTAATTCATCCAAGAGACAACTGGTTCTGTGTTAATTTACCAAAGAGACAACTGGTCCTGTGTTAATTCACCCAAGAGAAAACTGGTCCTGTGTTAATTCATCCAAGAGACAACTGGTTCTGTGTTAATTTACCAAAGAGACAACTGGTCCTGTGTTAATTCACCCAAGAGACAACTGGTCCTGTGTTAATTCAACCAAGAGACAACTGGTCCTGTGTTAATTTACTCAAGAGACAATTGGTCCTGTGTTAATTCATCCAAGAGACAACTGGTCCTGTGTTAATTTAACCCAAGAGACAACTGGTCCTGTGTTAATTTACCCAAGAGACAATTGGTCCTGTGTTTATTCACCCAAGAGACAACTGGTTCTGTGTTAATTCACCCAAGAGACAACTGGTCCTGTGTTAATTCATTCAAGAGACAACTGGTCCTGTGTTTATTCATCCAAGAGACAACTGGTCCTGTGTTAATTGACCCGAGAGACAACTGGTCCTGTGTTGATTACACAAGAGACAAATGGTCCTGCGTTAATTCACCCAAGAGACAAATGGTCCTGCGTTAATTCACCCAAGAGACAAATGGTCCTGCGTTAATTCACGCAAGAGACAATTGGTCCTGTGTTAATTCATCCAAGAGACAACTGGTCCTGTGTTAATTTACACAAGAGACAATTGGTCTTGCGTTAATTCACCCAAGAGACAACTGGTCCTGTGTAAATTTACCCAAGAGGCAATAGGTCCTGTGTTAATTTACCCAAGAGACAATTGGTCCTGTGGTAATTTACACAAGAGACAACTGGTCCTGTGTTAATTCATCCACGAGACAACTGGTCCTGTGTTAATTTACCCAAGAGACAATTGGTCCTGTGTAAATTTACCCAAGAGACAATAGGTCCTGTGTTAATTTACCCAAGAGACAATAGGTCCTGTGTTGATTCACCCAAGAGACAACTGGTCCTGTGTTCATTCACCCAAGAGACAACTGGTCCTGTGTTAATTCACCCAAGAGACAATTGGTCCTGTGTAAATTTACCCAAGAGGCAATAGGTCCTGTGTTAATTCACCCAAGAGACAACTGGTCCTGTGTTAATTCACTAAAGAGACAACAGGTGTTTATTAACCCTTAATAAGGCCCCAGACTATAACTGAGTTCAACTTTTCAGGGAACAAAATGGAAAAACTAAATATTATTTAAGTATTTTTATTTCCCAAACTAAAGATATCTTTCTCTAGCACATTCATAAGCTAACCAATCAGAATCTCATACAGAGACAAACAGTAGAATTAAAATTTACATTGACACAATTGCAAATATATGAGTGCATTGCATACATAGGTGGTGTTCTTTGAGGGTGTCCAAAACAAGGGTCTTGTTAGGGCTTGTAAAAATCCCAATTCTCATCATCATTGAGAAAAATTGAGGCTAATTAAGGAATTAAGGTTTCTACATACAAATTTGAAAGGAAGGGTTCAATGTTTTTTTGGACTTTTGGATTCGAAGAACAGTACGACATAAAACTTCATAAGATTGCATATTGGTATAAATGAAGGGAATGGGGTAAGATAATTGGTATAGAGGAAGAAACCATCAAAGCTGGAGATTGTAAGCCATTACTAAAAGCTAATCATTCATTCTTAAAATAATTTGAGAAATCAAAATTTCAGCCGAACACGTATGCCAGGGCTCTTGATCTTGCATTTAATAATCAAAATATATTTGTATCAGTTGATTAAACAACAAGCTTTCTTTTTATGTTCTTGGGTGCCTAACAAAGGACTAAAGGACAGTCCCTGAAATTTTCTACCAACACCCCTGTGTATGCCCATTTTGAAAAAAAAAATGCTTGTCCAAAGGAATCTTGTTCCATTACATATTTACTCAAACTTTTTGGGTTCACCTTATGACTAATTTCATCTTGAGTTCAATCTCAGCTATTTTGACTTTCATTTTCTACTTTTTTTATTTCTGTTCTGCAAATGAATTATATTTCCTTCAAGAAATAAATTAAATTTTCATAAAAAAATAATTAAAATGCAAATTTGCATTGTCAGTGTTGCTACATTGCTAGTATTAATTGTATGAAACAGCAGTCAAGGATGATATTGGCCTGTAATATACTTGCCGTGTTGATTATGTTAGACTGAAATCTTAAAATATACAGCTAGTATTTTATGTCTTCAAGACATCTTTCTCAAACCACGAGTCTTTTGTGGATTTTCACAGAAAATGCACAACAAAAGGAGATAGCCAATTTGAAATTCAGTGTTCTTAAAAATTACAAATTGTTTCAGAGGTCAAACGACACAAACCAAACATTATTATCGTTCATTTCATAGAAATATCCTTAAACAGAGCCCTGGCATAAGTGGGCCATAACACATCTAATTGTACACATTATAAAGCTATATATACATTTATTTACATATTCTTTATATACTAACAGAACTTATAACAAAATATAAATAATAATTATAATAATATATACTTGATTCTCTTCATGTATCTATCGCTGAATAGTCAAACTTTGGTTACAATATTTGTAATACCAGCTAATATTTACTTTCTATTCACATGCTTCAGTGAACCCACGTGAAAAATTTGCATTCATTTACAGATGAACAACAGTATTTTCATGTGTTAAATCTTATATAACGCTTTGTCATTTATTTGAATTAACACGTGAAAATTCGGCGTTCATCAACCAATGAATGCGAAAAAATCTACATACAAACCTTAATTATACTTTTAGCTCTCTGTACAGTCGTTTAAATAATATTTCAATGGCTGATACTTCTTTATCTTCTTCTTTTTGTATGCTTTACCAGCTGATAGAGAGAGCCAAATATTAGATATTTGTAGATTATATGCATTACAATTTTTCACCATCTACATGGTCTTAAAAATATTTGCTTAACCAGCTGAATTTCAACTTTTTGTGCCACATTTTAGAATTAAAAACCCACAACAAAAATGAGAAGGTTTCGTCCACACTTGCCTGTTATTATCAGTGTAAAATTTTAACAAAATTCTTCACGGTACAAGGCAATCATTCAAATGCATCTAAATCAAATTTTGACATTTCAACAATAAAAACATACAGATATATCAAGCTATTTATGCATACTGAAATAAGCTACAGTAGGATCAAGTCATTTTGACCAAAAGAGAAATTAACAAATTAATAATTCAACTCTCTTTTTCATAATTTGTAACAAATTTGCAATGTTTTATACTAACATTTTTACATGTGTTTGCCTAGCAGTGATGAAATTTTTAGTGAACAGCATAAAGCTCAACAGTTTTTCCACTGTGGAACCCGTTCCCAGTAAATTTCCCGTTATTCATGGATGTAAAATAAATACTATTAATTCCAGTGTGGTTTTCTAAACTGCTTATCTCCAGTCTTTAATTGCAAAAACATTGACAGAAAAACAAAATTTCCTCTTTCATCAAAATGACTTGATCAAACCTGAGAGCTATTTTAACACATTTCAATTAAAATAATTCACCATTTCTATACAGAAATCATTTGTTAATGCATAATATTGTAAAGGCTGGTGTTTAAAATATTCTGATATCTAAATCTTGGAATAGAAGAGGTATGGTATCAGGTGCAGTGATTATTAATACAGTTTAAAATAGAAGATATTAATACACACAGGGCTGTAACTACATCAAGGCAAATGAGGCGAATACCTTATGCCAAATTCTTTTTTTTTTATGCCCAATTTAACAGCAAGAAATTTCGTTTCTTAGAATGAAATATTAATATAATATCCGCTAAACATATCGCTTGTCTACAGTAAAGATGATTACCGTTTGAGGTCTACCGCAAGCGTTGCGATGAACTGACTTCAATGACAACAGGATTTTTGCCTCGTTACACCCTAGTTACAGCCCTGACAGAATTGGCTTCTTCTATTTTCTACTGTATCATAATCCTGCAAAGTACACCACACTCAACACTGTGCCACATCTTCTCGTGGGCCTTATAGTTCCAAACTAATAATGTATCTTTCCACCTGAAAGCTAAGTTTTTGATTTGACAGGGTGTAACACTGGACAATCTTGTCAAAAATGTTAAAACTTGATTAAATAATTTCAGGAATTTTGATTGGTCCAATTCATTTCGTGTAATATGTAGGACCAATCAAATTCGTTGATTTATCTAAGTTACAATTCTTGTAAGTTGTTCCAATGCTGAATCCTGTCTTAAAAAAGTCTCTGGTGAAAGAAATACCTTGTTCAATTTAGGTGTAAGGAGCATTTCAAATGATAGTAAAATCTGGGCCTTTATCCTTGAAAACTCAAATCAAGATGAGATTGTGTTACTGTCATCTGATTGGTCAATCACTAATAGCGATGTTAAATCTAGTTATAATATCCAATCAGATTACTGTATTTCTTAAAATCTGGCTTTTGTTTTGGTTAAGTTTACGAGAATAAGGCCCTAATAAGGTTACTAACAGAAATAGTTCAACCAGTACAATTTAGGTGTAAGGAGCAGTTCAAATGTTAGAAAAATCAGTCTTGATAACAATTCTTATAGAATTAATAGAATTAAATAGAAAACTTAAAATATCTAAGAAATTACCACTGTTAGCTAGGAGAAGGGTTGAAATTTGTTACACTACTTGAACACCCAGCCTGATTCCAGTCTCCACCGCTGGTACCAGCTGAATTGGGACTATGTTTATTCTTCTTTAGATTATCAAGATATTCCTGTTGAGACTGAGCTATAACTTGTGTTAGAATATCATTATCATCATAATCAGATAAACCTGGAAATAAATGGAATGAAAAAATTAATTACATGTACTGGATCCAATTTAAAGGCAACCTGGATGTTTTGTTTATTTCTTCTGTGGGAGACTTCACCAATGATCTGAGAAAAACAGGAACCCTTTGAACACAGCTGTCCTACCAATTAATTGAACAAATTATAACCAAGTGAGTTCACCACACACAGTTATTTTCACTTTACTTCTATCCTCACAGGACAGCTCAGGAAGAAACAGGTATTTCTGGAGAGCACCCCTGTAAATAAGAAGAACATGGTGCAACAAAGATTGGGTTTTTGATCTAAATTTGAGGAGGCATTCTCCGCAAAACCATAATCTATGAACTAACCGTAAAGTTCTGGGGGTAGATCATCCATCAATGATGAAGTTTCCTGAAAACCTCCCACGGCACCATCAGACATTCCCCCCAGGGGTAAAGCTCCCAGGGACATGGAGAAATCTGTAGGAATTAAATCTTTCTTTTCTTCATGAGGTGACTTCGAACCTTGAACAACAAGAATACAAAACCTAGTTATTCAAATCCATAAATCAATGTTAATAAAATCTTCAAAAAATCTTTAAAAAATTTCAATACACATTATAACGGTCTCAAAAACCAGAATTCAACATTTAAATTGAAGAACAGGGTTTATTGTAATTCATTGTCATTTACAACTTTTACTAAGTTTCAATGTGGTTTTAACTGTCTAAAATAATTGTATGAGCTAACTCAGTAAAACACAAAATGCCCGGAAATCCAACATAACAAAGACAAATTAAAAATTAAAGGAATGGTTTTATAGACCATATCAACTGAAAATATCGAATTTTTGTTACTCACCATCTTGTAAGCCAGTAGCTGGTGTTTCTAGTAATTCAACTCTCTGAGGACTGTTCTGATTAGAATTATTAGCTGAGCGTAGTCGTGGTGATCGGTTCCGAGGAGGTTCTGTAGATGTACTGGTTTCAAACGAATGATTGTAAGCACTAGAAGAACTACATGTGGCACTTGCTGATTTCTAAAAAGATATTCAAACAATCTGGTTAACATTTTAGGCCATGATTTAATCAAAGTACAGTTAAGAACACTGTTTGCATAAGTCTATTTTTCTTGTAGATTTTTTGTAACTTATTTGAGAATGATTCAGAATTTTAGCCAAATTGAAAAGTGGGCATATTTAAAAGGATAATAATAAAGAGGTTTTCTAAATATTTTATGTGTATCGAGGACACTTAGTTTTGACACGTCAGATTGAAAATTGGAATTGTGCAAATTGATATTATCAGTGTCCCAGATACACATAAAATATTTAAGAAAACTTCTTTACAATCACTTTGTTCAATCTTGTTTGTTCAGGGGAGATAAATGACAAAATACACAGCTAAGCAGTGACTGTACGATTATTATAAAATAATCATTGATTCATATATAGATGTTAATATAAATCATTGAACTATAAAATGATCAACCTACTGGTTCATTCTTGAGAGCTTTCTTCTCTTGTTCCTGTACCCATTGTAAATAGGATTCCCTGGCAACCTGTTCTTCTATAGTATCTTGAGTTAACTCCCAATCAGTTTCTCTCATCTTATCTTCCAACATGGCCTGTAAAAATAAGTGCGTTTTTATATTGTGCAAAGAACATACCTTTTGTGGCAGAAGGGTCTTGTTTATGTCCAATTCAACTGATTTAATAATATTTTCATCTCCACTAACCATCACTGACTGGGGAAACTGGGTTGAAAAATATAAATGTACTATATCGACCTATTCACAGAAAGCGTTTAACCTGCTGAATTCAACTAGAGATATTGATCATCTTTACATAATATCCTTAGATAATCTAATAACATTACCTTCTCTAGATGATAATCTTCAGACTGTTTTTTGGCATCTTTCATTAAATTATTCTCAGCTAACTACAAAATAATAAACATATTAATTCACTCACTTCTACTAGGATTATTTACACCAATCAACACAAGGTATTTACACAGACATGTTGAACATTACCAAAGAAGATAGAAACCTCAGAAAAAAAACTGATTGTTGCCCTTTAAATAACAAAGGGGTCAAAGAAACTTACCCCTGGTTGTAATCCAGGTAATCCTAGCCCCACCCCTATAGTAGCTTTATATTATAGAGTTATAATGGAAGGGTTGAAGAAACTTACCCCTGGTTGTAATCCAGGTGATCCTAGCCCCACCACTATAGTAGCTTTATATTATAGAGTTATAATGGAAGGGTTGAAGAAACTTACCCCTGGTTATAATCCAGGTAATCCTAGCCCCACCCCTATAGTAGCTTTATATTATAGAGTTATAATGGAAGGGTTGAAGAAACTTACCCCTGGTTGTAATCCAGGTAATCCTAGCCTCACCCCTATAGTAGCTTTATATTATAGAGTTATAATGGAAGGGTTGAAGAAACTTACCCCTGGTTGTAATCCAGGTAATCCTAGCCCCACCCCTATAGTAGCCTTATATTATAGAGTTATAATGGAAGGGTCGAAGAAACTTACCCCTGGTTATAATCCAGGTAATCCTAGCCCCACCCCTATAGTAGCCTTATATTATAGAGTTATAATGGAAGGGTCGAAGAAACTTACCCCTGGTTATAATCCAGGTAATCCTAGCCCCACCCCTATAGTAGCTTTATATTATAGAGTTATAATGAAAGGGTAGAAGAAACTTACCCCTGGTTGTAATCCAGGTAATCCTAGCCCCAACCCTATAGTAGCCTTATATTATAGAGTTATAATGGAAGGGTCGAAGAAACTTACCCCTGGTTATAATCCAGGTAATCCTAGCCCCACCCCTATAGTAGCCTTATATTATAGAGTTATAATGAAAGGGTAGAAGAAACTTACCCCTGGTTGTAATCCAGGTAATCCTAGCCCCACCCCTATAGTAGCCTTATATTATAGAGTTATAATGGAAGGGTCGAAGAAACTTACCCCTGGTTATAATCCAGGTAATCCTAGCCCCACCCCTATAGTAGCTTTATATTATAGAGTTATAATGGAAGGGTCGAAGAAACTTACCCCTGGTTGTAATCCAGGTAATCCTAGCACCACCCCTATAGTAGCCTTATATTATAGAGTTATAATGAAAGGGTAGAAGAAACTTACCCCTGGTTGTAATCCAGGTAATCCTAGCCCCACCCCTATAGTAGCTTTATATTATAGAGTTATAATGAAAGGGTCGAAGAAACTTACCCCTGGTTATAATCCAGGTAATCCTAGCCCCACCCCTATAGTAGCCTTATATTATAGAGTTATAATGAAAGGGTAGAAGAAACTTACCCCTGGTTGTAATCCAGGTAATCCTAGCCCCACCCCTATAGTAGCCTTATATTATAGAGTTATAATGGAAGGGTCGAAGAAACTTACCCCTGGTTATAATCCAGGTAATCCTAGCCCCACCCCTATAGTAGCTTTATATTATAGAGTTAAAATGGAAGGGTCGAAGAAACTTACCCCTGGTTATAATCCAGGTAATCCTAGCCCCACCCCTATAGTAGCTTTATATTATAGAGTTATAATGAAAGGGTAGAAGAAACTTACCCCTGGTTGTAATCCAGGTAATCCTAGCCCCACCCCTATAGTAGCCTTATATTATAGAGTTATAATGGAAGGGTCGAAGAAACTTACCCCTGGTTATAATCCAGGTAATCCTAGCCCCACCCCTATAGTAGCCTTATATCATAGAGTTATAATGGAAGGGTCGAAGAAACTTACCCCTGGTTATAATCCAGGTAATCCTAGCCCCACCCCTATAGTAGCCTTATATTATAGAGTTATAATGGAAGGGTCGAAGAAACTTACCCCTGGTTGTAATCCAGGTAATCCTAGCCCCACCCCTATAGTAGCCTTATATTATAGAGTTATAATGGAAGGGTCGAAGAAACTTACCCCTGGTTATAATCCAGGTAATCCTAGCCCCACCCCTATCATAGCCTTATATTATAGAGTTATAATGAAAGGGTAGAAGAAACTTACCCCTGGTTGTAATCCAGGTAATCCTAGCCCCACCCCTATAGTAGCCTTATATTATAGAGTTATAATGGAAGGGTAGAAGAGACTTACCCCTGGTTGTAATCCAGGTAATCCTAGCCTCACCCCTATAGTAGCTTTATATTATAGAGTTATAATGAAAGGGTCGAAGAAACTTACCCCTGGTTGTAATCCAGGTAAACCTAGCCTCACCCCTATAGTAGCTTTATATTATAGAGTTATAATGAAAGGGTAGAAGAAACTTACCCCTGGTTGTAATCCAGGTAATCCTAGCCCCACCCCTATAGTAGCTTTATATTATAGAGTTATAATGAAAGGGTAGAAGAAACTTACCCCTGGTTGTAATCCAGGTAATCCTAGCCCCAGCCCTATAGTAGCTTTATATTATAGAGTTATAATGAAAGGGTAGAAGAAACTTACCCCTGGTTGTAATCCTGGTAATCCTAGCCCCACCCCTATAGTAGCTTTATAAGGGTCTATTATAGAGTTATAATGGGCATTACGATGATAGCTGATCCTGATTGGTTCATTCTCGGTATACGTTCCATCTCCATGGAATATATTAATTGGTTCTATAAATAAGAAAACAAAAATTATTGAGTTATTTTTATGATTTGAAGACATCAATTTTTCTTTCTCAGCTAAATTTTGACATTTTCTTATAAAATTAATCTATTTTTGGTGAAAAAAAAAGAAGAATTTTCAGCATATTTTTCAACACATATTGCAAACATTCCATGTATTTTTTATATCTACCAACTGTGGCCTCTTACTGCCAAGATCATCTTGGTATTAACAATTTCAGCACTTATATTATAAAAATAATGCAGTCATTTGAAGCAAAAATCAAGTCACTATAATGCTGTGCAACTTACCTAAACTATACTGATATACTTCAACTCTTCTGTTAAACAATTCACTCATTGCCTGCATCTCTAAATGGTTACCATGACAATGATCATGGCGTTTACGATTTAAATAAGTTATAAAATCTTCGGTCACATATTGCGAGAAGAAATCACTATTTTTAGACTGAAAGTAATTAATGTAAAATTGTGAGATATCATTGTTATTCATTAGTTCATACTCTAGTTGTTCTTAAAACAAAATATATGTTAAAAATGAAATGAATGGAGTTTTACGTCCTACTTTTCTGTACCATGCGAGCTAATGAAGACGGGCCATGCAAGGTGCAATGCGTGATATTTTGCCAGGACAGCGGCATAAGTCTGCTCTTTTCATTTTCCAACTGTCGAGGGATCTTTAACGTGCACAGCCTGTAGCACACGGGGCCTCGGTTTATTGTCCCATCCGAAGGACTTGACACTTTTTCAAGGTCAACCCCTCTTACCTGCATAACTGACAAGGGGGAACCGGGTTGAAAAATCCGAAGGTATTATCTCGACCTATGCCGGGATTGAACCCTGGATCTTTAGGTTAGCGAGCAAGCGTCTAACTCAATGAGCCACCGCGGCCCCCAAAAATAAATGTAATCATATGTAAACATACCATATAATCTATACAGTGTTTTCTAACAATTCCATTCATTTCTTGATCTCCATAAACTTGATCAGCTAGAATACACAGAAACACAATCAGTAATCTTGTAAATTCAGAATAAAACATTAATTAACCAATTTTTAATTTTCAACTAGCAAATCTAAAATACCATTGGTTTGCCAAATATTATTCTAATTTCTACTCATGCTTAAACACTATGATGGACCAAAGATAACTTACCAACTGAGCGGAACAAACAAGCACCATCTTCACCCATTTTCTTTATGAGAAAACCTTTCTTTTCTTTTAATGCTGCTTCAAACCACCTCTCAAGCTGGAATATAAAAACTATCTTGTAATAATCTCATATGATAAAATTATGTCACTAGTCACTGATATTGACAATAAAGCTGTAAACGATAAGCTAAGGCTTCAGTTTTGTTGATTAACTTAGTAACTGGAAGTCAGATAGTAAACTTGAAATGTCATACATATAGCTGAAATACAGCCTCTAACAGAAGTTATGTAGAAAATATTAAAATAATTTTGTTCATTACAAAAGATTTAACATGTAACTTTTAACCACATTAAAATTGTGGGTGTATAACATCCATAAGCTCTATGTTATATCTGCAGTACAATCATGGTAATCATGGTCTAAAAATAGTGGCCACTGATAATAATAAATTGATCCATGATAGAAGAGCAGTCTATAATCAAATTAATGTAAATGATAATGAGGAGGAAGGTCACAAATAGGTCATTATCTGTACATTGTATATAATCTTATCTAGCACAACCTTATAACAACACAGTTATTCAAATTCTACTGTCATGGAAAAATACCATTCAATGAACACTGGTTAGTGTACTTAGTGTTTCATATTCTATTTGATTTTGATACACAATCCTCATCAGGACAGGTGGTTTCGAAACAGGGGTTAAAATTAACGGCCTCCTACGAAGTTGTAAAATTCAAATGAATACTGGACTACATGAACTAATTACTTTCCCTTTAAATTATAGAGTAGTCTGGGTCAAAAAGTTCTTTTCTTCAATTTTCATTAAGTTCAATCAAGAGGCAGCTTATATATAAAACTAATAGCTATGATATATTATTATATTTATAGTAACTGACAGAATCTACCAAATACACTTAAAAATAGGTATTATAAAATCTATTTAATATTAGCTTATATGAAAGCTTATGAGGAAATGATCTTTGAAGCTTACATAAGCTTATGGCATTACCGATTGTGGTCAGCACACACAATGTGCTGTGTACTAGCACAACCTACATTCAGCTGAAATTTTAACAAAAAAAGCACAATGAGCCAATTAGTTTTGACTGCTAATTCTGTCACTCTTGGATCTTTTAATTTCTGGTGAGAGCCCAAGCTGTTTTCATATTTTAAGTAGGCCTAGCAAAATTAAAAAAGAGGATATTACCTCTTCTTCATTATCACTGCGAGCTGTTGGGATGTATTCATCTCCACTATTGTAACCAGACAACTCCTCTTCAATTTCATTCGACGGACCAGCACACGGACTGTGAGGCTGCGTGGGTGTCGTGTGTCCCCTGTGTTTGCGTGTAGTTCTGTGCGGTGAGGAACGATGACGTCGTTTGTTTATATTATGATTTGATATTGATGCTGCGCAGGCATCATGAGTATTCTCAAAAGTTCCACCACCAGGATCATGAGTCTGCAGTTCTTCTCTTGCTGGATTCGGTAGCCATCTTGTTGGAGAAGTTCTACCTCTTGCAGGTTTTTCGTGACGACCTTCACTTGATGAATTATGATGATAATGTGAATGTGTGTGGTTATGATTGTGTGAATGTGAATGACCCACTGAATGCTCCGATTTATCCGAGTCATTTTTCTCTTTCGACGCCTTTTTCTTGGGTAAAATCGTCATTTTGAAGTCCTAACTTGTACTTCAGATTCCTAACTAAAAATTGCCAACAAAATTAGCGTCGAGATCCGTTATCATAACTTCATTTTCAAGAATTTTCTAGCTTTCTAGTTGGTTCACTTGAACAAATTATCAACAATATGGCGAACGTTCGTGACGTGATGTTGTTTTCCTATTGACTGCCATCTAGTGGGAAATTTCGAAAGGGGAAGAACTCATTATCTCTTGACTGAAAATTTACAAAATTTACTATGAAATAGTCTTTTGATCGTCCAAATTCTAACTGGAATATTTTGAAAATTTTACTGCTTAGATCTAAGAACTCTTTGCACCATGTCAATGACTCCATTATGAACTCAAGCATGAAATGGCATACCTACAGTTTCAAGGTCATTTCCCAAGGTCACGGTGCTCCAGCAGCCGATTTTTTTTACTTCATTGCAGTGTACATTTATTTTGTACCAATGGGAAGCTAGTTCCTTGAAAACAATAAAATCTTTTTATTGAGATTGTACCCTAGAAACAATGTTATGTGAACCCCGATTTGACAAATCCAGCTTCTGTGATCAGGTGTTCTCAAAGAGTGAGCATGTCCTGTCTTGCAAGCCACAGTCTAATTGCCATGTAGTCTAGTGTCTTGTCAGCAGGCCCACAACCAAAGAAATTTTTCGCCCTCACCCCTTGAAAAATAAGATGACTTGTATGTCTTGTTGAAAAATTTCTGCCCAACTAGCTACAGGCCTGCTGGTAAATCAATGGGATACCACACAAATAATAGGGAGGCTGAACATATATCTTGGGTAAAGATAAGAGTGCACAGCCTTCATGGGGAGGCTGACTCATTTAGCCCAAGCTATTTAAAATAGGGAAGCTTAGTCACTCAGGCTAACAGCATTTGCTTCTGATAATTGAGCGAAATTTAATTCTCAACTTCACATCAGCATTATATTAAAGTCCTACTTTTTTTTTAACCTAATTAGCTAATGAAGACAGTCAATGTGATGCAGAGTGGATGAGGAAAATTGCCCAGTTTCCTCTTTTTTCATTTCCAACTGTCCAGGGATCTTAAACCTGCATAGTCTGTAAAACACAGATTGGTAATTTTCAGGGAATAGAAAGACAAAATTGAAACTGAGTATATTTTATTACCTTGTATCACTGAACAAATAGAAATATTTACTCTAATATGAAACAGACTATAGCTATGTGGAGCAGGGCTTGGTGAAATATTGCCATGGGTTGATCACAAAGGACAAAAATATTTCACTATATAGCTAGAAATATTGAAACAGAACCTAAAAAAAACATGTTGTTGTTACTCGCTATATAGCTATGAATATTTTGTAGACGGTGCACATAATATCCAGAACGTACCACCTTATGATCAGTTATGACCGATGGCCTCTAACTTGGTCTGGTTTGTCTCCATGTACCCCACCTCTATTCTCCAGTCTGCCTCATACTAAAGTAAATATAATACATAAGTTCTTTATTCATTAACAACAAAAATAGTTTAAAATATTTTACAATAAATGTGAATATCAATATCAAGTCTTTTACTGCCCGGGCGTTAGTCTTATTTTATTATTTCATTAAGCTATCATCTTATACTTTTGTCAGAAAATTGAACAGTCTACTGAAATTAGATCAAACTTTTGTTCCGTTTTTTTTATTAAATGTGTTCCGAGAGGTACTTTGGTTCGTGTCACAAAATCCCAGCATTGGAAAGGGTAGGAATTTGAGTGGCTGGTGGTAACATCAAACTGATGACGAATGTTCATAGAGGGCCGTCTTTAGACCCTAATTGAAAAATAAAAGTAAAAAAAAAAAAAAACTTCACGAAGTTTGGTCTAATTCTAATAACACTGTACATCAAATGGCTTTTAGTCATTGTAAGTACGATATATAGACACAGCTTTATGGAACAATTCTAACCAATGATTGTTGTTCTATACAGATGTGTCTATACATAGTAGAGCCAGAGTTAGCACAGAATTTTTCTAAATTAGGAATTAATTTTGAAAACCATCCCTGCGATTTAAAGTCGAACCATATCACCGTCTAAAGATAATCTACCCTATAGCAATTTTAATAGCTGAAAGCTGAACATGGAAGGAAGCATGTTAAGTACTTTAAAGTTTGCTTTCATGCTAGCTTACTACTCTGTTTGTTCACAAGGAATGTTATAACCTATTTTAATAAAAGGTCAAAGGTTATGGCTAAATATTCATAAAGGACTAGTTATTTCATTTTTTTGAAGCCCTAAATAAATTATCAATAAGAACGAGAAATTCACAAGTTATGTGCCCTTTTCTACAAGAATTATAAATATATACAATTTACAATAAAAGGCTGTGTAGAGTCAGACAGATCTATTATTGCACATTCAGGGATGTTTTCAAACTGTAATGTAGTCTTATTCTATAGTCTAACAAGACCAATTTGGTGGTTTAGTAAGTAAGTTGACCATGTAAAGCTTCAAAGAGCTCAAGAAGAAAACTAAGTATATGCATATCCATAAGGCAACTCATAAACTTGATCTAAGAACAGACAACTGGCATATACACATACCCAAACCACTGGTCAACAGGCATAATAAAGTTTCAGAGCTCCTGATTCACTAAAGATGGAAAATGAACTAAGCCAAGCGCCATCCCCTAGAATATAGTTACGTATGTTTGGAAACATTCTTGAATGTGCGTAAATATCTTTGTCAGACAATACTGCCAAACTTTACAAAGCGCCATCTATCTCTTAGGCCGGTGATATATACCAAAAGGTGGCACTGTGTACAGTTTGATCTATCAAGTTTCAAATATCTCCAGATCTCCTGCTGATGTTATGAAGCAATTGAAGATCTGAAGTTATTTGAAATACACGCCCAGAATTTTATAATAAGGAAATATAATAGATAGGCTTAAAGGAATCACCAAATGTAATTTCTATTCCTTCATTGGCATCTGTCCAAGATATATCATTGTTTAATGGCCTCACAGCGTTAAATATTAATCTTTGGAGAACTGAAAATCAGGGCCCATTTCCATAAAAAATATTAAGATAAATTTGTCGTATCTCTGTGATTTTACATTGAGAAATTCCATACTTATGACAAAATTGATCGTTTGATTTTTTGTGGAATGAGACAAAGTTTACAAGCAATAGAAACAATTTTTTTGTTATTTCTTTACAATACAAATCTCTTCTACAGAATGATTATGTGTCCAGTTACTTGCACCATTTCGTAAACATCAATACATGTATTAAATACTAATTTTGTTATTCTATATTTCCGTTAAGACACCTCAATTTTTTTGTTTTGATCAGCACCGATTTTTTGTCGTATTTCAAGTTTTGAATAGGGATTTCATTACCAATGTGGTTGCAGTTTTGCAATTTCTTACATAAGTTGGTCATTATTGAGAATTCAGAGTTTCGCGTCTCATCACTATTTTTATGTTGTCAAAATATTTTGCCGAGCTAAACCAGTAAAAATTCTGAAAATTACAAATCAATATAATAAAAAATGTTCTTAACCCTTTGAACACTAACGCAACTGCTCTGTCAGACCCAAAGTTATGGCCTGTTGGCCAGTGAAACAGTCACGACCTTGGATTTTCAGACACTAAGTGATCAAAGGGTTAAAATAAAACTAAGGACAATCAATCATCCATATATGGCCTGAAATTTTGAAAAAGTTTATGTGTTGGTATATACAAATGGTCATATTGTACACACATTATCAATATTCTCCTATTATATCACGATTGTATTTTCCAGACAAATCCTATCTTTCAGTTTTTAGCAAGCACAGCCTTCTTTAGGTTTGTTTCCATCATTAGAAAGTTTGATTTGATCTGGGAATTCATTATATAACTCTACATCGGTTTCTTGGGCTAGGGCATTCTTCGCTACTGTTTGGAAAGCTTGTTCAACGTTGATGGCCTCCTTTGCGCTGGTCTCGAAATAAGGTATTTCACCTTTACTGTGACACCAACTCTGTGATCGTTTTGCTGATACCTAAAAACAAACAGCAAGTATATTAGTTTTTTTGCATAACTATGGTACAATTTATTCATTCGTATTGTTTCAATATAACTAAGTTTTAGGTCCTACTTTTCTACACCCAATGGGGATTATGAAGATGGTTCAATGCCATGCAGTGTACAATGAACCCTGCCCCTTCAGAAAAGCAAGGGCATATAATGAACTGAGCCATAATAACACTTATATACTATTTCACACATAGTGAATGTCAGTGTATTATGACTACCAAATGAGATGGTGTTAACATCCACTGCATAGAATAGTTAATGAAGACAAACAACAACATGCAGTGTGCAATGAGGGGAAGCAATGCAAGTCAATGAATCTTAAGAGTATTGGGCAAAAAATCACAACATTTTAATAAAAGTTGTCACTTTATGAAGACCAATGAATCCTATTTCTTCAATCTGTTCCAATTTTTATAGTCATTTGGGTGTTTGATAATTTTAACAATATCAGGTATTGCACCATTATAACAGTACCTCATGTGAACTGTTCAATATGTACTCAAAAACATCTTAAAATTTCATTTGAAAACCTAATATTTGTTATGAAGTAAGTACTCACCGCTCTGTTTTCCAAATCTATTTTATTTCCTATAACAACAAATGGAAAATGTTCAGGATCTCGTGGACTGGCTTGAATCAAAAACTCGTCTCTCCAGCTGTCGAGAGATTTAAATGTATTAGGCATGGTGACATCAAATACTAAAACACAACAATCAGCTCCTCGGTAAAAAGCTACACCTAAACTTTGAAATCTTTCTTGACCGGCAGTATCCCATATCTGGAAATAAAAGATAAAAAATGAAACTATAGATCATAATATTAGTCATCTAAATAATTGCCATACTTGACGATAAAGATCATGTTAGCTAAACCATAAAAGCAATGAGAATGCTAAAAACAGTATGGAAATGATATCTTTTAGGAAATGGTGTTTAACATATTACTTTATGCTGATGAAATGTCAACGAGGGTAAGGAAGACAGGGACATTGGTCTACTCTTTTTGAAAAACTGGAAAAATTCAATGGTATGCCTCCAGGATTGAACCCTGTACGGCCATGAAAGTAAACAAGCATCTAACTTTTCTACTGAGCCACTGCAGCTAGCAAGTAAGCTTATCTGTTTAAGTTCTAAATCATAAGAATTGCTTGATATTAGGGATATATTTCAAGAAATTAAAAATAATTTGTTCGAACCTGCATGGTTACAAGTCTATCATCCACCATAACTTCCTTGGTTAAAAAATCAGCTCCAATAGTGGCTTTATATTGATTACTAAACTTTTTATTAACATATTGGTTCATTAGAGATGTTTTACCAACACTACAATACAAGTCACAATCAGAGTCATCATTTAAAATCAGAGTCATTGACTTTTTGGTTTTATTACTGGGATTCTTAAGGTGTTTTGAAACCTTTATGTATGAGAGACACAAAAACATTTTATTTATGGTCCAGGAAAATTTTAAACGAATTATGGGGTTTCCATTGGAAAAGTCTTCGTAACTTTGGAAAGAAAATGGAATGGTGCATTAGAAAGCTAGCATTGTCCCATATTGGCATAAAGCCAACCACTTTTCAATGATTCCCTTTAATCATTAGCAACACTTTTAGCTTACAGGAAGGGAATTTCCAAGATTTGTAAAAGCTAGGCATCAGAATCATGACTGTGCAAAAAATACCAAGAATTTACAGTTTTGAGAACGAAGCACATTGCTTAGATGTATCTAGATAAGCCCATGGGATACCTCATATTTCAGCTCATCTGGACAGGTTTTATTAAGTAGTTATGTTAAAATACAGTCTAATATCATAATAAAATACATACCCACTGTCTCCTAATATAATAACTTTTAATAGAACCTTCTTTCTTGACGCCATTTTTAGTTATCTGTATTATCTAAAAAGATACAAATTGCAATCAGTCAAAAATTGTATCTCATAATTAATCTTAAAAGATCACCAGCTACATGATAAGTTTACGAGGAGTGGAAACCAATGTAATTTGAGTGGAAATATCTCAGATTAAGAAGTATAAAGAGGTGGAAACTAAGGGGAGGAAAGCACTGGTGTTGGGTGTTATAGAAGTTTTTTTTCTATAGAGGAAATGTGGAAATTGAAAAAAAGGGGGGGGGGGGGGGGGCACTGTAAGCCAAACAGTGTCATAGAAATCTCTGCGTTTGAGTCGCTAAAGTTAATTTAAAACTTATTTTAGCACGTTAGTTTTAGTGGAATTACAAGAACCACAGACGTAGGAATGAAAATTGGAATGGTGCAAATTTATGCTATCAGTGTCCCTGATACACATAAAAATTTAGAAAACCTCTTTACAATCCCTTTAATTTAAAACTTATTTTAAGAATCCAAGTGCAGGTGATCTGATAATGAAATCCTTACAATAGCCAATAAATTTTATGTACAATAGATAAATATACTATCAGCTGATATCTACATCATTATCAACATATAGAAATACAGTGTTAAACAGAGCATGACAGTTTATTGTTCTCTATAATAGACTATAATAGGTCTAATACATCCCACAGAACACTACTTCATGCCTAAATCTGCAAAGGATTTCATCCAAAACAATCAGGAAATCAGGATTAATGGAGATACACACTTAATAAATAGGGCCGCAATAAACTGACCAAGTTTTAGAAAGAACACGACATTATAAAATGTGCTTTTCATCCCTAAATCTGCATTGGATCCATTGGATTTCATTCCAGTTGTCCAGAAAGAAGGTTTTTGAAGCAGAACTGATTTAATAAGGAAGCAAGAATCTAATCCAATCCATTACGATACAAATTGAACACACAAAACTCTAGTATTTCATTGCTAAATCCAAAACATAATCTCATCCAAAATACCCAGAAAATAAAACCTAGGCCCAAGGGTGTGGATAATAATACAGCAATATGAATTTGAAATGAAATAGAGCATGATATTTCACTTGCTGTCCTTAAAACATCTACAATAAATCCCACAAAAACAGATTTTATCACAGAAACTCAGCATGTGATAATTGGGTGTAACAGTTTTTGAACATTAAACTTGATTATCGAGGGTGTATGTAATCGCCAGACAAAATCTGACTCTCTCATTACTATATTTTGATAGTCAATAAATTCAATGACTTAAGTTGGTTCCAAATTAGTTGTTGACTATATAGAATTGTTAAACTGAAGTTCTGAAGTAAACTGGTTGTCTACTTTCAAACTCAACAACATGACTGTCTCCGTTAACAACATATATTGAAATTAGAATTTCAAATTAAACAGTAACAAAAATCAGAAATAAAACACGTCCATCCTAGAGATCAATTCAAATTCATTATACTTGGTCTTACTGCAGAATACGATCATTAGCTATGCATTATGAATTCACTATTTAGTAAACCAATTCCAAATATATACGTGCACTTTTTGGTTTTCTAACCCAATTCTTGCTTAACACCTAGTCTACCTACCATGATCATGCCCATGCATGGCAAAGTTAAAGCAAAGTTCAAAGATAAAAAACAAAATTTGAAAAAAAAATCCCAATCAAATATATTGATGTTACCTCTAGACTTGGTTTTGTATTTTCACCAAATTATTCCCAGAATCTCATTCAAATGACAATGAATATGCAAAGAATACTGTTTTTCACAAGGAATTACACTATTTTTTAATTTAAGGAAATGACGCAGTCGATATAAATAAATTGGGTGAAATTGTATGGTCAATTTTTTGTTTTGATTGAAAATTTACTGAATTTCTTTGCAATATCTGAAAGTACTATTGAAGAGAACAGCTCAATAAATGTATGTCATAATGAGATGGAACCATTCGACAAATTCCTGCAGTTTCGGTTGCCCATACGTACCTTTAGTTTGAATAAATAAGCAAAATTAATTTTCTGCCATAAAGTCTTGTGAGTCCTCCCTCTAACAAATATGGCGATGTCCCGTGACATGTGACGTCATCTTCCTCTGTCTTAAAATGATCAACTTCCGGTTTACTTTCGTTTTAGTTTTAAAAATTCTAGCACGGATACGATGAACTTGCAAGAAAACGATCACAACGATTCCGATGCTAGTTCAACAGACGATCGAGATTTTTCTTCGTCGAAATTAGGTTCTAAAGAATAGTAAGAACACACGCTTAGTCGTAGAAAACTTTCAAATGAGTCCGTATCATGCGATGTTGAAAGTTAGTCAAACTGGGAAAGTTGATATAAGTGAATAGTGATAGCGATAAGTCGAGTCCAATGTTATTAAATAGGACCAATTTTCACGTGCTAATTCTCTAATTATAATCACGTGTAGCCGGTCAATGATGATAAAGACTATAATCTATTTTTAGATATCATTCAAGCCTGACAAGTGTCATTTTATCGTGCAAAATCATCCCTTGACTTGATGACTTGTTGATGACCTTAGAACTTTATATAAGAATAAGGCTTACTTAATCATAGTCATAACTAATTAAAGTTTCCTAAATAATTGCCTACCTCTTTTTCTTCTTGAAGTTGGTTTCTTGGGAATTGGAATTACATGAAATTACTACCAATTATTACTTATTAAATCTCAAGTTCTTTAGTTTAAACCATTAAACTTATAATCTTAGTACGATTTTAGTGAAAAACTAACTTTTACCGAGCTAAAAATGAAACTGGCAAGCCTTTATTGATTATTATTTACAGATTATTTTTAGCAATGGAGGCCCTTGCTTTATAGGATATAAAAGTATTCTACAATGTCATATTAGGTGACAAATACCTTTAAATAACTTAATATAAGTATAATAAGTATAATGATAGTGTAACTATTAATGTTACTATATCTTATTGATATTTTCATTGATCTTATATTAGAACCTAACCCACTGTTTCATCCGATCAGAATTGGTTAACTTATTCTAATGAGTGTATCAGAATTTCTCAATCACACGACATTCTGATTAACATCTAGCATTCGCTCTTATTAAGTTATTGTTAATGATTAAATTATACATGAAAAGATTTATAAAATAAAAAAATATATGCTTCTATATCTACTTGATCAAACTGAATTTATTTTAAAATGGATGTTTAAAATATAGGGTGTATTTATTGTGAATTAAGCAGTATAATAAATTAATATACTTCCCCATGTAACTGATTCAAATGACAAATTAGGATTAAGTCTCCCTATCACTTCCTCTCTATAGATTTCATGATTTGATTCTTCTCAGCACCCCATTGAAAATAAAACTAATGAGGATATTTACTCAAACTTTGTGTGTTATCCTTTATTTCAAATGTTTCTATATATTTTGGATTTTGGATACTTTTTCATCAATTAAATTGTCTCCATATTTCATGATTTTAATACTTATTGGAATAAATGACAATAAAACAAACTAATTGGAACCTTTAAAAAAAAAACAACTCAAGCCTTATGAATTATCCTTATAATGAATTTCCTATTTCTATTTTCATTTTGTTTCCTTTTACATTTTCTGTTCAGTTTATAGATTATATTTTGATATATGAATTTAAGTTTCTCTAGAATAAACAGATAAAGAAAAAATCAAAAATAGTGTTAACACCCTTTTAAAATCTTATTTTTGTATTTTGCCTGCCAGGTTACAAGATTCATGTGTTGGTTTATTTTCAGTTGGGATTCTGCCTATGATAAAGAATTGGAAAATTTTAAAGATATCGGTGATGTAGGAGAGGTTTGGTAGGTTTTCATTCATTCTTCAATATCAATAACAGTTTTCTGTGGTCAGTCAGAATAAGCTCCTATGGCCCACAGGAAATTCTATTAATGTCCCATGTATATTTTGAATCTGTGATTTTTTGTAAAAATATTTTAGGTTTGGAGAGGGAAGTCAAAATAGAATTATACGATGGCTGGAGAAACAGGACTATATAAAGAAAGATTATCCAGTGTTAGATATTGGAACTGGTAATGGTATAATGCTTATAGAAATGGTAGTGTTAATGTTTGATATTATATCACTGTATCTGATGGGGCTAACTAAATGGGGTGATGCTTCACAGAGTGCAAGGAAAGCATTATTTGTCACCTTTCCTGACTCACACATCTGAACTGTATCTTTTAAACCTTTTTTTAAAATTGGGGGCTGTAAATAAGTTTAAGGTGGGGCTGCCCAAGGCCCTGTGAAGATTAAAGTTGGATGAGGCAGCTGCCTTAACCTCTACCTCTGCCTTATTGAAAGCCCTGCAAGTTGTATGCATTAAGAACTATTTGTAATATATTCCCAGGCTAAAGAAGGGTATACAGATTTAACTGGAGTAGATTATTCCCAACCAGGGGTTCAACTAGCTCAAAATATAACTCAATCTCAAAAACTACTGACAGACATTGTGTATCAAGTAAGTTACTCATGATTTTTGCCTTAAAGCACTAGATGTTAAAATAGTAACATTGAAGATAATAATAAAGAATATAAAATAGATTGGCAGTAAGTACAGGAACTGTATAATAGTGTAATAATAAAGAATATAAAATAGATTGGCAGTAAGTACAGGAACTGTATAATAGTGTAATAATAAAGAATATAAAATAGATTGGCAGTAAGTACAGGAACTGTATAATAGTGTAATAATAAAGAATATGAAATAGATTGGCAGTAAGTACAGGAACTGTATTATAGTGTAATAATAAAGAATATAAAATAGATTGGCAGTAAGTACAGGAACTGTATAATAGTGTAATAATAAAGAATATAAAATAGATTGGCAGTAAGTACAGGAACTGTATAACAGTGTAATAATAAAGAATATAAAATAGATTGGCAGTAAGTACAGGAACTGTATAATAGTGTAATAATAAAGAATATAAAATAGATTGGCAGTAAGTACAGGAACTGTATAATAGTGTAATAATAAAGAATATAAAATAGATTGGCAGTAAGTACAGGAACTGTATTATAGTGTAATAATAAAGAATATAAAATAGATTGGCAGTAAGTACAGGAACTGTATTATAGTGTAATAATAAAGAATATAAAATAGATTGGCAGTAAGTACAGGAACTGTATTATAGTGTAATAATAAAGAATATAAAATAGATTGGCAGTAAGTACAGGAACTGTATTATAGTGTAATAATAAAGAATATAAAATAGATTGGCAGTAAGTACAGGAACTGTATTATAGTGTAATAATAAAGAATATAAAATAGATTGGCAGTAAGTACAGGAACTGTATAATAGTGTAATAATAAAGAATATAAAATAGATTGGCAGTAAGTACAGGAACTGTATAATAGTGTAATAATAAAGAATATAAAATAGATTGGCAGTAAGTACAGGAACTGTATTATAGTGTAATAATAAAGAATATAAAATAGATTGGCAGTAAGTACAGGAACTGTATTATAGTGTAATAATAAAGAATATAAAATAGATTGGCAGTAAGTACAGGAACTGTATAATAGTGTAATAATAAAGAATATAAAATAGATTGGCAGTAAGTACAGGAACTGTATTATAGTGTAATAATAAAGAATATAAAATAGATTGGCAGTAAGTACCGGAACTGTATAATAGTTAATATAGTGTGCACCACTTCTTACTCGAGTAAATTTGTAAAAATATATGTCATTGAAATAATGATAATAATTTGACAGCCTGCTATCAATAAGAAATTGGCAGGTTTTCAATATTGACTGAGGATCTTCTGATGAAAAATTTCCCAAATTTTTGTGACTATCTAAGACGGGCACCCCCCCATGGTCGTGAGCCCTTTAACCCTTTGAACCCTGAGTGTAAATAAAATATAACACCTGTACCCTGTAACCAAGTAATAAAAGTAAAAGCGTATGATGTTAACGTTGTATGATGTCACTTAATAACGGCTGGTATACAATCTGCCCAGGTATATATTGCGTTAGTGTGTGGTCGGAAAGGGTTGAGAGTAAAGAATATTCACTATACATGCAAATATATCAGTACACAGATTAGTTCATGTTATTGCAGTGACAGGTAGATTTATTTAAATTATCCAGATTTGTGAAAAACCTTTAAATATGTGTTCAATGGGATAAAAGAATCATAGATCTTGTTATTTCGAACTATGCAGCAATGCCACTTAATAAATCATTTGTGAATCTTCTGCTTTATTTTAGGTGGCAGATATGACACAATCTATTTCTACATCATCAGAAAAGACCAATTCAGACATAGACTCTCCTAGTGCATTAAAACGAACATATAAACTTTGTATAGACAAAGGCACGTTTGATGCCATTAGTTTGTTGGAGAGTGAGTTTAAATCAAGTCGTGAAGTGTATGTTAGAAACGTCCGCCGTCTGACCGATACTGAGGAAGGGTATTTTATCATCACGTCTTGTAATTGGACGAAAGAACAGCTTGTTAATATCTTCAATTCTTGTGAGTTTATTTTTATATTTTTTAGATTTTACTCCAGGACCCCAAACAAAACACTTTTGTTCTAATACCTTCTTTTCAATTAGCGGTCTTGTCCTGAATTTGCAAACGACTGCATTCTTGATTAAGATCCATTGGTTTAAACAAGCTTATATTGGCATCTTTATTACCACCCATAGTTTCATATAGGTCTGAGGTCACAAGTCACAAATAAAACAGTTACAGAATAATCTCCACATTTCCTGTGAGTGCACTTGTACCATGTGTATGTTGTTTTACAATTTTTATGTCCGCACTTTTATCCATACACTTTTACCAAAATGTTTTTTTTTTATTTTTTGATTCAGGTTTTAAACTCCACGCTGAAATTCCAACACCTACATTTAAATTTGGTGGACAAGTTGGAAACAAAGTTACCTCCCTTGTATTCAAGCCTGTTTGATAATAAAATGTGTAAAAGACAATAGCCGGCATCTTTCTCTTTCATGTAGCATGAACAGGAAATCCTTCAAAAGATTGGGCAGTTTGCACTAGACTTAAAGAAACCAGACGACTGATGTGAAATCAGAAACACAGAGATGACATGGGTCCCCACTGCAGAATATCTCTTATAAGGCTTTCATAGCCAAATATTGTTTGGGAAATCGAAATGGTGCAAATAGAAAGGGTTAGCCAACCTCATTCCCCATCTTCACAATGTCAACCTATTACAAACTGTGTTTAATACCTTGACTACAATAGCCACATGTGTCACTGAAGTCTGTAAATGAAGTGATTTGATTGGACCATGAATAAACGAATACAGCCGGAGTCCCGACAGAAAGTCTGTAACAATAAGTCATAATTCTTACTGTCTTTCTGTCGAGGACCCTGATTGGCTGTATTTGATAGGGTACGGTCCAATCAAAGGCATAATACGAAGTGTGTAATAGCTTGACATTGTGAAGATGCTCTTTCCCATTAACTGTATGTATTGAAATAAAAGACAAGTGATATAAGATCACCACAAAACAACATTTATTCTTCAGTATATAGACAATGTCTCAATCTGTCTTAACATCCTCTTCATAAACTCTTATAGCTGTACCTGAGCTTAACCAACTTTCTATAGTAATAAATCATATTCGATAGTATTATTAACTTATTTCATAATTAACTTTCTTAATAAAGACAAAACATGACGAGTTTTCAGACATTTATCTCAAGCTAATGTATTTAAATATATGTTTTTCCATTATTGAACGACATTAAACTGAATTTTTGACTAATATATTTAAATATATGTTTTTCTTTTATTACTGAATGATACATTTCACTGAATTTTTAATGTTTTAATATCAGAATTGGGGAGGATAGTTTTAAAGCAAATTGTTTTTTTTTTAAATTATTATTTTTAACATTTATATAAACAGAAGTATGGTTTATAAATTGCAGAAGAATTGCCAATAATAATTTTAATATTTTCATTTCATTCATACTGAAGCACTGATATAATTGACTTGTCCAGAACGTTTCAAAATAATTTCTTCTCTTTCGAGCAAAACTGTCGACGTTGTCTTATTCAGTCTGAATTCAGTTGTCAGAAAAACAAGGCAGTACAAAATTCCATACTAAATACAAAGAAGTTTGAAGTCAATTTTCTTCTTTTGAATGTGCTTCAACAGGCAACATCATGCAGTGTGCAATGAGGGAAATTTTGCCAAGACAACATTAACCTTCTCCATTTCGATTCCAAGTGTCAAAAGATCTTACACATCTGTCAGAAATGAATTTTCTAAATTAATTAAGGGCAACCTTGAACAACTAATAAACAATATTTCTGTTGTCTAAACTAATCAGTTAAAAGTACTATCATCTTTTCATGTTATATCCCTACCAGTGAAACCACAAACACTAAACAAATTAGATGTGAACAAATTAAATATTTCATTTTCAAATTATGGCTCTCAGATTTCAGCAAAAAATGGAAAAAAAAATTGTAAGATTTTGTCCAAATATTTAGGCCACGTATTCTTGAAACTATCTTAGAGCTATGATGTCCTAGAATCAATGTACATCCTAGCTCTAAGATCGTTTCGAGAATAAATGGCCTGTATTTTTGCAGACTAAATTCAAATTTTTAATAATTATTGGGTTGTTAAATTATTTTTTATTTTTTTTTTCAAAAAAGCATATAATTTTCAACTTCCAATGTTTGAACATTTGTTTTTTTTTTGTTATTTCAAAATTCTTACTGATTTCTACTCATCTTGACAAAATTCTTTTTTTGTTTGAAACAACTAGATTGACAGATTTCCTTAATTTGCCTAGATTTGAAAGCCATCAAGAATATTTCCCTCATCAGTTTAATATTGTTATAATCTAAAGAATATAATAATTAACATTAATATAGAATTTATATTATTTTAACATCAGTTAGTTCTTGTAGCACATTCCTCCATAATTGACAGGCTAGAAGATTAATGAACCAACAACCAAGGTATACCAAACCAATAATGTTTTTTGAAAATGTTCAACTATGAAATTATTAGACACTCATTTTGACAAAAGGTTATTTAATTTTGCTTTACGAGGCAGAAATGCGAAATAGCAAAAATCAAAATGGCTTCTTTTTGTCATCGTTATCAAGAAATCGGTTCTGCATGACATGATTTGTTTGACCATTAGTAAGGTCATTAGAACGCAACTATGCTAGATAATTTGTAAGATGAGAATAGAGACTTCGCCACTTCACAAGCCATGTACCATGATATGTGTTACAAGAACTAACTTGTAATTGAAGTAAATAAATGTGGTATATCAATTACTTAGACATATACAATAATATAGAGAGAGAAAGATAGATAGCATAGACAAAACAACAAAAGCTAAGAAAATCAAAAAATCTTTTTAATCTATAATGAGTTCTCTCCCCTGATTTTGATCAAATAAAAAAGAAAGCCATAAAAATATATTCCACTTTGCGCAAAGCAATTTGCAACAAGTTATTTTATTTTATGGCATTAGAATTCATAAACCCTTATCAAATCGGTTTTGAAAACTTTTATCCCCTTTTTTTTAGCCAACCAAAATCAAGAACCACAACTCTATTTCTAATTCACTCTTTTTCACACAATGCAATATAAACTATATTATATTATATCTTAGGATGATAACGTTAACCTACATCATTCACGATTTCATTTCTTTATCTTATTAATAAACTTATAATGTCCTTTTACAGAATTAACAGGGATTATAGCCTTCTAAATATTTGCTATACCAGCTGATAGAGATAAATTTAAGTTCTCTGTATCACTTTCATAATGAAAATCTAACATACAGTGTAATTAATTATCGAATAAGTAACAATGGAAGTTATAAAGGTTTTGTAATTATTCATTTTACCAGCTGTTAAAGCTCTCTGGATCAATCTTGAGAAATATTAGTAACTTCTGTAGAGATATTACCCATATTATAGATAATAGGATTGTTGTCACTCTCTCATGCCTTTTCATGTTTTATAAACAAATTAGATATCCAGTTTTTACTACTGAAAGTGATCAGATGTCTGAATATAGAGTATTATCAGCTTCTTATCTGTTAGTATAGCAAAAATATAGACACAGTACCCCTTTATCGTATCTTATATTAGCATAGAATGTTTATAAAGCTCTTAAAAATAATCTTTACTTAATACAAAACAAAGCTACAATATTCAAGAGAAAACTAATATTTCACTCGCAAGGTGGAAATAACTCTATCCTAGTCCTGTCAATATTTGACCATGTTTCTTATCATTTTGAGCGTGAAACATCTGAACAAGTCAGGGTAAAATCCAAAATGAGGAGCTCAAACTCAAATTGGTACGAAAATTATCTTACAGAGAGAATTGACTTTTCTTTTTTTTCCTCTCAATTTTTCTTATTTATTAGAAAACTTCTGAAAGCGAAAGTTTAATTCATTATTTCTGGCAAGAGGCAATGTTCTTATTTCTATCTTTGCTTTTTATTATTTCCTTTAACTTCATATCTTTAGTTCAACCTAGTTTGTATGCCTCTTTTGTGCCAAGGAAGGGGAGAGAATTTAAAGCCAATTTCTAATAACATTTTTCATCGAAGAATGACAAAGCTGTTTCAAGAATTGGCCTTAGGATATTTCATATGCAGTGATTTAACAATGTACTGATTGCAATAACCAATAAAAATGCTTGTTACGTTTCATATCAGATAGTATCAAATGTAACAAACCTTTTCATTGGTCAATACAAACAGTACACTTAACAAAACTTCAATGAAGATATCCTTGTATTCAAATCAATAGTTCAAATTAAAAACTTTGTCGAAAAGTTTTCAATTTCAGCCAAAAATCTGAATACTCTTCTCAAAAAACAAAATAATTACATATTATTTCCAAAACATTTCAAAAATAAAACAAAGTGCAAAATTTTGTGAAGAACATAAACCCACAAGCTAAATGTTTTATAATATAATATTTATAGAAAGAAAAGATTTCACCTTGAGAAATGGGGCTTGATTTTCACTCAAATTCACATGAAAATATATTCGAAGGATTTTAGTCCTCACATACAGGCCTACTCAGCACAATAGTTGGAATTGTTTTTCCTGGATTTCTACATAGTTACCAGAATTAATAATATGAATGTATAGTTACAAGAATTCCAAATTAACCCAGGCTTAATAATGTATTAATGTATACTAACAACTACCAAGTACAGTATCCTATCCTGGCGCCGTATTCTCGAAAAGATCTTAGCGCTATGATGTCCTAGAATCAGATAAGAACTTACGACATCCTAGCGCCAAGATCGTTTCGAGAATACGGGGCCTGAAGCTCAACTATCATAAATATTTCTTCATTTCTCCAAACTTTACCTTAAAATCTTTTTAATTTTACAAATTTGAATGATAACCAAACTCCATCTCCATTTTGAAATCAAATTCAAAGTGTGATTATTTCAATATAAGAAATAATCATGAAAAATAGAAACAGCAATAGGCAACACTCCCTAACTATCAACAGACCATCAAATTTCATTTTTCTACAATCAGTTTGACGGAAGCCAAGTAAAAACTGTGTTTAAAGTAATTCTTGTCTAAAATATTCTTTGATAATGTTTTATACGAGTAATTCTATACTGTTCTTTATTTCATGCATTGAGCGTTATCTCAGCAGTTGAAAAATTGAGTTACACCAAATTTAGATTCTGTTTTCATATTTCTATATCGCTATGTAATTAATACACAGAGTATACAATACTGTACAACTGTATTTTCAGAGTGAAAGGGTTTGTTTTAATTGTACCAAGTAAATGATACATGTAATCAATATGGTCTGTGATAGAGGTGTGCCTTGCTTTAAACCTGTACAGTCAAATAATATATATCATTACCTAGTTAAAGATATATTACAATTTTAAATCAATATCTCATAAGACATGCA